TTTACCCGTTATCTTTGCCCTTCAAGAATTCCAAACTTCTGTTTAATCTGGCACTAAAGCTACATAAACAACATCAGAGGAAGCATTAAAACAAATTGCCACCGAACAGTTTCTGCTTCAAAAATGGCAGCTTGAACCACTCAAAACAGAAGGCATAAAAGACAATGGGGAATTTATTTTATGTTAGAATTATAGTTATATTCTCTTTTTCTATTTTTTGTTCCAGGAGACAAACCAGTGTACAGGGTCCCAAAATGAACTTAACCATCTGTGACAGCCTAAAGCCATTCTATTATAACTGTCCCCAAACAGCTTTTAAACATAAACTAATTCTCCAGGTTTGTTTTGTTTGTTTCTTTGGTTTGTTATGGTGACTGCATCAGAATTGATCTAGCCATCCTGGTATATTGTAGCAATGCTGCTTCCTACAAGATAGATGGTTTGCCCTCTCCATTAAAAATAATACCCCATTATTATAGAAAAAAATAACAGTCACTACACATTCAAAAGCATACTCTTTGGGCCCTAATTGAAATCAGAATATTTTTAATAATTAACAATTGAATACAATAGGGATGTAACAATTGAAGTAGTTAAAGAAAAATTTGCTGAAAAAACTCCATGACAATTTTATATTGTTTTCTTGACTCAAGAGTCAAAGTGTATACCTCCACACAACTTACTTCCACTAGATGAGAATTAGATGATTAATAAGTTTGCTTTGAGTAATTGGCAGTATGAAAGAGCACAGAAAAGATGTAAGATCTAGAGATGACTAAGAAAAGCTTAAAATGAACCACAGATAACAGATGGTAGGATAAGTTACAACGACAAAGATACTTGCAAAGAAGGTGGTAACCCTTAAACCTTACTTGCCTGAAAAACATCTTGTAGAAATCCAGGGGGGGAAACGACCTTTGAAGAGAGATAGGCCTGGGTACAAATTCTAGATTTGCCTCGTGCTAAATGTAAGTCCTTCGGGTAATTACTTGACTTACTCAACCCTCAGTTTCCTCCTGCGTAAAATGGGTGCAATAAATCTCTAGTTCACAGTGCAGGTATGAGAACTGGTGTGACACATGGTACGTAGTTACTATAAATTGTAGTTATTAGCATATCTGGAAAAGATTGACTGTTGACTTAAAAGCCATATTGTTTTTTTCAAGATGAAGTAAGGATACCAGAGTTTCTCATTTAAAAGTTCTACAGAGATTTTTTTTCCTAATTCATCTACCACATTGGCCAAAATAGCACTGTAAGCTTAACTTGGCTAAGTCTGCTTCATTCATCTGTCAACAAGATTCTGGGTTTCATATCAAGTTGACAATTATTGAAGATGGGGGGACCAGAACAGGCTGCACAACAGCGTCGTATTCACACCTCAGAGGGTTTACGCTACCAACAATAACATCATATATCTGTCAGTCAAGCACAATTATAGGGCTTGATAGACTGATACAACAACTGAAAACAGGTCTCCTGACTTTTCTGGCTACAGTTATAGGACTTGTTTGATTTTGTTACCTGTGAATATTAGAATGGCTCCTTTTGGGACAAAAGGACAGAGAAACTACACCCCCAATGACTCTAAAAAAGGTCAAAACGAGTGCAAAATTTGCGACATTTGGACAACCTGAAGTCATTTTGCAAATTTGATCGTACTCTTTGCTTCTTATTGAAACATGAATCTATTTTATCCAAAATAGAAGGTACCATTTCATGTCATCTAGAGTCAGGTAACACAATGGCCTGGCAAATCATTCTAGCAAATATGTTTATGGCATCTGAGCTAGGTACTCAAAGCACTTGCATGGATTCCTTTAGAACAATGTTTTAATACATGTTACCTTTATGAGAAAGAAAACAGAAAAAAATTATGTGATACTCACCTAAAAATGAATTACATACATTATCATAAAATTGCTCCATAGCAACCTTTTAGAGCAGAGACTCTTGTGGTAGCAACATTTTTTTGTCAAAATGGATAAGGCTGGGTAATAAAATGAACAGCTTCCTAAAGAGTAAATTGATATGTGGGATCTAATTCAAGTTGTATTTCAAGTTTTAAATTATAAATGATCTCATATGCAAGATATAGAAACTGACCAAAAAATGCTTTAGCCACACATCATTCTAGTGTGATACAGTCAAGTTTTCCAAAGTACATCTAATGAACATATAAAATAAGGTTCCTAAATTAAATTTTATCATTAAATTTTTGGGGGTTTTTAATCATACTTGAGAGTATTACTTCAGGAGGACAATGAAAAATGGTAACTCTCAGGGACAAAAGAAATCTGCCTGCAGGCGAACCAATCTTCCACCTGTTTGTTTTAATGAGTGCCCGAATGCTGTCTTTTGCACTGTTAAGCACTATTGAAAGTGAATGACAAAAAAATACACATCAGGACCCGGTTATACCTCAGTATAAGCCACAGGACCACAGAAGCTCATGGCTAGAAGGAAGTCGGGGGGATGTTCCAAGGATTGCTTATCTGAAGCAAGACTATTTCACTTCTCAGACTACCTTTGTGATTTACATTTAATTTACAGAATGAAAGCATGGGCAATTGCCATTAAAATAGTAATGTAATCCTTGATAGTATATACAATTTCTTATTTGTGGAGGTAGTGAACTAAGTTTTTAAAATACAAAACTAGAGAAATAAAATTCTCTACAAATAAAATTATAGAAACTTTTAGATTTCAGTTTATGAAAAAAGTAGAAGGAAAAATACACAAAATTAAATGATGTTAAAAACAGGAAGAGTACGGTAACTACAAGTTGCAATTGTCAATAATTGGATATTGCATCTAAATAAATATAAAATTGATCAATACATTTCATCATAATAATGTCACTGTTCATTAACTTTTATTCAGATGCAAGAAACATAATGGAAATATTTTATAAAGCCACTTAGTCTAATGCAAAATTTGATGAAAAGCAAATACTTCTTAAAAATCATACATGAGGGGGGCTTAAGAATTGGAGGCTGAAGAGGATTTCATTACAAGGCATTTCACCCATGAGGGCCCTCAGGATATGGGGTTCCAAGGCAAGGCTCAATTGTATTAGTAAAGATAGCCATATATATATATATATATATATATATATATATATATATATGTATCTCCTCTTTTTCAAAGTCAATGGTTTCTCATTTTGTCAAATGTAAGCAACGTGAATCATCTTTTAGTCAGTATAAAAACTCATAATGATACTCTATTTTTTGGATTTGATGCAATTTGTCAAACACAGTATAAGTTTTTTAAGATACAGTTGAGATGGGGCAGTATTAATACTTGTCTTATGGATTAGCTATTCTATATTTTGTTGGTCATGCTTTTATTTATGTATGTAATTAATATTATTTGACCCATGGTCTTCCAAACTTGTGTACCTGTCATTCATGTTATAACACATCTACCATTCATAAGGAATTGGGATAATGTGGTAAGCAGAAAATGTTTAAAATCAGTCATACACAATTGAATTCCAGCTTTGCAAACCTTCTCTGGCTATGCAACCATTGATAATTAACCTCTATGACCCACAGCACTGAACAAAGGGAATGGTAATATCAGAGTAGTTTTGAGATAAAATGAAAAGTATGAGTGTTAAGCGCCTAGAATATTGCCTGCCATCTACTAGGGGCTTAAAACATAAGTCCTCTTTACCTTTTATATAATAACAAAAGGAAGAACAATTGAAATCTTTAGGTAGAGAATCTGGGCTAAAAACCCCTAGGAAGCAAGAGCTACATGGCTGCCTAAATTTGTGAAGAGCCAAAGAGGAAATTCTAGAATCCTGAAAGTCCCGAGAAGGCAGAAATGAGATTTGACTACCTCTTGGCCTGTGTAATACTTACATCCACCAAAAAAAGCCTTGAACACTATCCTGGCTGTAATCTCCGGAGTTTCCTCTGGGTTGTCGTGGTTTGTTTCCAGTTTTAAAGGCAGAAGATTAAATAAGAAGCCAAAGAATCAGGCTCCTAGGCCTGGGGCATGCCATCTGCCTAGTATTAAGCAAGAACTGAAAGTCAGTTACAGAAGCAGAGTCAATTCTAACATGATTTATGTTCCATCCTTGAATGTGGCAGGAAGACTGCAAAAGATATTTGGAAGCCAATGCTTCCTCTGAATAAAGTAAACGAGTATAAGCTAAGCCCCTCTCCCCAGACCATGCTGGCCTGTTAGATAAGTTGCCAATGAGGAGTCTGTGAACCCTGGAGCAAAAATGGCTCTTCGGGATGAGAAAGTGTCTCAAGGCCAATGATCATTGCTACCGTAAATGTACAACGCACAGTACAAACACTGGGGTCAGACAACAGATATCCAGGATATTACTCAAAAACACATCTAGCTCAAAGCTGACAAGATAATCTGTTCCTGTGAGTGCAAAGCAGACAGGAATGCTGCCGCTATGACTTGCTCAAGCAAAGAAAAAAGAAATTGCAACTCTCCAAGGGCTCCATCTCATGCTCTTTATGCAGGCAAAACTCCAGCGAACTTCAAAGGGAGCGTTGCCTAAGGAGGAGTGTTAGACCAAGCCCATGGGGGGTATCATTTCCATGATCATGTTGCCATCTACATTTGGTGGACAGGCAAATGCAAATACTTCAGATACAAGTTTAAACAGATGAAAAAAGAAGTGCGAAAGAGCTTAGAGATTTGCTTGCAAAAATCCTCAGAATTCCAGGAAAAGTATTTAATATCAGGAACTTCATAAGTTATTTCCAAAGTCCCAAGAGAGTAGTTGGTTTGTGATGATACGTATTAACAATAAAAGTCTTTTTAGTCGACACATTGCACTCTAATGTATCCCAAGATCACAAAATAGTGTACTTCAAAAATAATTTCCCAAAGTTAAGTACTCTTAAAAGGTCAGTAACATTTTTCCCATTGGAATATAGACTATATTTTGATGTTATAACCAAGTTTTAACATACGTGATCCTGATTAATGTAGAAGAGCCAAAATCCAGCAAAGATACTTACAGGAGGACCTATATGGTGGGGAGTGGGTAGAGAAGGTAAGAAAAAGGGAGAGACAAATTAGTGAATATGAAAAATATTAAGACTGAATAAAAGATTAAAATATCATAATTATCAGCACAATACAAGGGACATACAAGTCATTTAGAATTCAATGAGTCTTAATCTTTTTTTAGATCACAAACCTTTTCTGTATATCAGAAAAATGTTTACATCTACGTGTACACAAAATTTTTCATAAAATATAATGAATGTTCAGATTCCCCGAAGCCTCTTTATGAATTACTAAGACATTCATGTATCTTAAGCAAATATTGTCTAATTTATATATCTAAAAATTTAGATAAAATATGAATCAGGAGGATCTTTGGTCATTTATGACAGACCAGTTATAGAGAATTGATATCCATAACTTTCTTGAGTTTGATAAAATGGGTAAATTAGAAATGTACTTATTATTTGTTTTTCGTTTTTTTGTGTTTTTTTTTGTTTTTAAGATTTTTATTGGGGAATTGGGGGAAGGGGAACAGACAAGTTGCTCTCCTTTTTTGTTCTTCAGTCTAGTTGTGGAGGACGTTGCTTCACTGGCCCAAGTTGGCACCATCATTGCGCTCTTCCTGGGCGAGGCAGATCAGTCGCCGGCTTCTGGATGGCTGCTCAGGGCGGCTGCTGGCTGCTCACGCTGGCTGCTGGCTACACACGGTAGCCCATGGCAACCCACTGCAGCTCCTCTGCAGCCTACGCCATCTCCGGCAACTCACAGCAGCCCAGCTCCAGGTTGAGCTGTTGTTCAGCATGTTAGCTGTAGAGGGCAGTGTCACTGGCCCTCATATGTGGGATCTAAACCGGGGCCCTCTGGCATCCCAAGCCAGCTCTTAACCAATGTGCCACTCGGCCGGGCCTTATTATTTGTTTTAAGAATGTTTTTCATTGAGTGGTATTGCCAATATATAAAATAATAAGCTTCGATGCTTACATAACTTTCTTTAAAATTGTGTATTCTCATCAAAACATCAGCAAAGTCTAAGAAAATTTCAATATTTCACACACCATATGCTCAATTAAAATACCAGTTCTCTGTAACCAAAAAGTTGGGAATTGACTTTTATTTTTCTATAAAACTCTGTATAAACATAAATTTTCATTCTTTTCCCTCAATCCTTTTTTTCTTTCATTTGACACAAAGATCAATTCAGTGATTATTTGACTCTACCAATGTTATATTATTTTTTTCCTCAAAACAAATTCATAAAGCACCCTCTATTATGAAACTTTGCACTTTGTGAAGGGACTACCTAGACAAGTTTCCAATTATTTAGATTCAGTGAGGTTTAATGACAAGTTTTGAGAATATTCTTAAAGTAATTAAGCAGCAACACTACCCAAATTATTGAATTTTCATAAATCCTTTCTACTTTGACATCTTTTTTCCAAAAGAAAGGGGAAAGGAGATAAAAAAAAAATCAGTCTTCTCTCTGCTCTTTTGATAGATTAGTATTCCTACTCTTTCAACCATCAGTAACGAATTGTTTTTAATACTGAGAAATACAGAAAATAACATTTCTTAGCAAACACTAGACGCAAATCTTAAATACCTTCCCCTTATCTTGCAAGGAAGAACCAATAGCCTGATAAGGCTTCATGTAGTCATTTATATTTTTGGAGTCTTAGACTTTATAGCACAAGTAAAACAGTACATGAACTTACTCATTCAGATATCTTGGTTTAAAAAAAAATAGTTTTTTATTTGACTCTTCTGTTTCACTTTACATATAGGGATTTGGCCTGAAAGCAAAAGCTCACTGAAGTGGGCATCAGGACAACTGGTTATATTTCAAGTTCTGCTTATAAAAAATTATGTGGCTTTGGCCAAATCACCTGACTGCTCTGGGCCTCTGTTTCCTCAACTACAAAATGAAAATGCTGGATTGATTACTAAGGCTCCTGTCATCACTAAATTTCTACGGTTATACAAGAGGAATAAAAATTCTCAAACTTTGAAAAGAATGAGAGTAAAAGCATGACAAAATTGTACCAGTTGGATAAAATAATAATAAGGCTTTCCAAGACATGTGCCCTGGTGTCCCAAGGCATATGTTTTCACAGAGAACCTGCATGTACTGACCAGCTATGAAGATGGAAGCATGGGTGATGTTGCCACACTGTGTGCAATTAAGAAACCCTCACTATATACTGAAAAGTCAGACTCGACACAGTACATAAGTCCAAATTGGGTGACAGTGGTAATTAATAATATTTTGCAAACTTCTCCTTCCTACAGTTTGATGGAAATAAGATAATAAAAAATATTCTAGGTCTAGCAGAGATTTAACCATATGCACGCACGCACCCGCAGGACCTCTAATAAGATGGTATAATCGTTAATTAGGAGGAACAATGCGGGAAGCTAACAGAACATCAATGACACAGAGCAGCCTCAAGGGAAACTTACCAGATTCTCCTCTTCGGCCTCTCTTACCTCGTTTCCCAGGAGGGCCTGAAATACAAAGAATGACTTTTTTGAATGTTTGGTTCCAAAATGGCCAGTAAATAATTTCTATATATTTTATCACTCCTTTTAACTAAGAAATTCAAGAAAGGGACCAGACCCATAACTCTTAAGCTTCATCTAGTCATAAAAGTTGTACTTTATCTCTCATCATCTAGTAAGATACAGGAACACTAAACCTTCAGAATTTTTGTTCATCCTGCCTGGATGTCATCAATAAAGGCTTTGCTAATAAGCAAACTGGTGATGTTGAGATTTCCTGTTGCTTAGGAAGATTTCTTTTCTGAAGGTTTCAGTATGTTAATAATTAAAAGTACTAAGTACAAATTACTATGGTTTCTCTTCGGTCAGGTCCATTATGATTCTCAAAAATATTTAGTTGGCGGCTAGTTAAATGTATATATTAATGAAAATAATCTTACAAATATTTCTATTTTATTAAATGTGAATTTTCCTATATTGGAATTTTTCTGAGAACCAGCTAAGTTAAAGTCGCAACGCTTTTAACTGCAAAGTGTTTAGATAATAACTATAGGTCTCATTTTTCTAAGGGGCTAGCTCACTATTGTCATTCAATAAATATTTAGTCTGTATGATGATCCCATTTTAAAAACGGAGAAAAACTTTTTTTTTTCAGTGAGTTGCCTGTGAAGACCACCAAGATAGTATGTATCAGACTTAGCACAAGCTTCTAGACACTCGTGGCTTTCAAACAATTCTTCTCAATTACATAATTTCTCCCCTTATTTCCTTGGGTAGGAATAGCTCCCACTGAATTATGATCCCAGCAAATAGAAGAGAATAATTAGCCCACAATGAGAACTGAGGTCTTGTAATATTTGCTGGAAGAAAAAGGCCAAGGAAAATACAGAACTTCCTGGTTTTAAACAATGAGCTGCTAAGTTGGACTGATGACTTCAAAATTCTAAAGTTCAAGACACAAGCAGTAGAGGCCTTAGCATCCAGCCGACTCTTAATGGGATCCTGAGCTACTGACTTCCGCATGGAAACACTATGATGAGAAATGAAAACATTAGTGGGCCAGTTAGCTTCCTCTCAAGCTCTTACACAGAATAAGTCTGGCCATCTGTGTTTTGTAAGAGGTTAAAAACAATCAAGCAATAAAATCAATGGAAAATATTAGGAGAAACAGCTTTATAGCAGTGTCCAAAACTGTCATAAGAAATTTCAGATTCCTGTCTGTATTCTAGCATAAAAAGAAGTTTTTATCATATTTAGGATATTCTTGGCCAGATTAGGAGTAAAAGGAGAATCATGAAAACAGATAAATAAATCCAGTGGGACACTAATAGGGATGAAAAATATACACTTATACACATACTCGAACAAACAAATACACAGGTGTATATGACATATTCCAATATTTACAGTATCCTTAAAATTAAAAATCAGATAGTTTTCTATTACAAAATCAATTAAACTAAGAAGTTTTTAGCAATTACTATACACTTATGATTGTCTGTGATCTTCATAGTAGGGGTTATAGGTCATGAATAAGATATATATCATCCCTGAAAAGGCAAAGAAGTTGAAAATATTAAAATACACACATGAAAAATTCACTAGTAGAATGATGTGAAGATGGTACAATGAGTTTATACTCTGATTTGTTCCTTCTATTCCAAACACATGGTCAATTAGAAAAAGAAAAAAACATTTTAGAATTATTTGTATTCAGAAAGAAATGAAGGGCCGGCCGAGTGGCACGTTGGTTAAAAGCTGGCTTGGGACGTCAGCTCTGAGCAGCAGGGCCCTGGTTCGGATCCCACATGAGGGCCAGTGACACTACCCTTTACAGCTAAAATGATGAACAACAGCCGGACCTGAAGCTGGGCTGCGTGAGTCGCCAGCGACAGTGTAGGCTGCAGCCCCTGCGCTGCCATAAGCTACCATGTGTAGCCAGCAGCCAGCGTGAGTGGCCAGCAGCCGGTGTGAGCTGCCAAGAGCTGCCATGAGTGGCCGTCCAGAGGCCAGTAACCGATCTGCCTCACCTGGGAAGAGCACAATAACAATACCAACATGGGCCAGTGAAGCAACATCCTCCACAACTAGGCTGAATAACAAAAGGACAGCAACTTGTCTGTTCCCCCTCTCCCAATTCCCCAATAAAATCTTAAAAAAAAAAAGAAATGAACATGTTTATAGTCCAGAAATTGAACAGAAATGAAAAGTGGAGAATTGGGAAAAAATCATGAGCTTGGTGGGTTCCAGTTCTAGAAGTGGGAATGGTGGCCATGAATTCTATTCCTGAAGAGTAAATGCTCATAAAGTTCCCTAACCAGAGCTATAATCACCACTTAAAGCCAGGGGTTTGAAAATGCTCAAGAGACACTGAAAAAAAACCTAGGTCTCTCGCCTAAAGGATGAGGACTGTAGATACAATCGCTCAATCAGAAAATGAAGTGAACGTCTGCTGATTTGATGCCTCATTCTATGATATCCCCAACATAAACCTGGGGCAGAGTCCTAAAATGCCATTTTAAGACAAGTCTGACCTAGAAGGCTGGCAGGTCAGATAAAGACAAAACGGTTAGGTAAGAAAGGGCGAGCACAGAAGGAAGAAAGGCAGAAAAACACAGGGAGAAAACTACACCAAGAAAATAAAAACAAAACAAAACAAAAAAAATCCCTAGTATTCATAATGAATATACAAATCAAAATTCCAAAAATGTATGAAGAAATCTAATTCTAAGAAAGACAGCACTCAATAAAAAGATCACGAATTCTTTCCAGGTAAAAATAATTTTAAAAAAACCATCAGGATCCGGCCAAGTGGCTCGGTTGGTTAAGAGCTTGCTCAAGAGTGCGTGCTCTGAGCAACAGGGTTGCCAGTTTGATTCCCACATGGGCCAGTGAGCTGCGACCGTGCTGAGCTGCCGCTGAGCTGCCAACAGGTGGCAGGATGGGTCAGCTGGTGAGAGCACATGCTCCTAACAACAAGGTTGCCTGTTTGAGATGGTGGGCTATGCCCACCAGCAGCTAAAGACTGAACTTGGCACCTTGAGCTTAGCTGCCGCCTGGATGGCTCAGTGGATAGAGCATGCGCTCTTAACAACGAGGCTGCTGATTCGACTCCCACATGGGATGGTGGCTATGCCCACCGGCAACTAATTAAACACAGCACCTTGAGCTGAGCGGCACGACTGGACTTGGAGCTGAGCATGCTGCGCCCTCCACAAGTAAGACTGAAGGACAACAACTTGGCTGTTCCCCTTCCCCAATTCCCCAACACTGTTCCCCTCCCCCAATTCTCCAATGAAATCTTTAAAAAAAAAAAAGAAAAGAAACCATCAGACAATGGTTGGTATCTTAATTAAGCTTTAAGAAATAAATGAAAAAGTAATATCCATTAAAGAGCAGGGATTTAAAATGTAAACAAGAAAAAAAAAAAAGAACAAGTGGATTTGAAAGAGCCCTTTAGAAATTTTGAAAATGAAAAATAAAGTCATTGAAATTAAAAAAGAAAAACGTAAACCAATTAAGTGCTAGCCTAGGTATGGTTGAAGAAAGAATTGATGTGGAAGATACAGAATGCATATCCTCAAAAATCTACATGTTGAAATTCTAACCCCAAAGATGATGGTATTAGGAGGTAGGGTTTTGGGGAGGTGCTCAAGTCTCAAGGCTAGAGCCTCATGAATGGGATTAGTGCCTTGTAAGAGACCCCACAGATACTCCTAGTCCCTCACACTCTGTGAGGACACAGTGAAAAGGCACCAGTTATAAAGCAGGAAGGGAACCCTCTGCAGAAGGCAACCATGCTGGCACCTTATTATGAAAAAATGATCAAAGAAGCAGTGATTTTTTTTTTTAAGAAATCAAGAAACAAAATTAGACTATTTCTGAACATGTCTGCCTTAAATATTCAAACAGAAGGCTTAGAGAAATGAGTTGAACAGTATGGGAAACCTGTTTCTTATATTGAGAATTGAGAAAAACAGAATCTAAGAAAAGTAAAAAGAAATATGACAAGACAGACATCAATTAAATATGATAAGGCTTTACAAAGAATTTCATAATAGTTGAGAGAGAAAATGAAGCCAAACTAAATTATGAGAGGATGGGGATCTAAGCTCTATTGGATTTACAAAGAAAATACTAGATTTGAGAAGAGCATGTTATAATTACTAGAAGAAACAGAGAGCTGGAATGAGCATTATACTGAGCTAATAAATTATACAAAACTCTCAGTAAGACATAAAGATCTTACTTACAAAAAGAATAAACAGAAGTTTTGAAGATGTCTACTATGCAAATGAGACAATTTGATATTGCTTCTGAATTTAAGAGTAAAAGTAATAAAAAATTATATAGACGGGATAAAATTGACAATGGACAGCTGGCAGATCACCAGAGTGAGAATATGAAAAATCAGAAAAGACAAATGATGGCTGTTTCCCAGACAAAACCGATGTTAACAATAGTTGAAAAAGATAGTGGCCATTTTCCATTCCAAACTGAGTGATGAAGTGTCAGCCAGGCATGAGCTGTAAGAACAAATATAGAAGCTGGAACCTGACTCTTATTCACTGAATTTGGCCAGATCCTTGCAGCAGAAATTCTCAGTAAATTCTATCAGGAGAAAGGCATGACTCTGCAAAAGAAACTGGTTCAAGAATATGAATGGGAAGAGAAAAAGCAGAAGCTATCAGCAACAGAGGAAGTGAAAACTTACAAGCAGAGAATTCATGAAATGAAGAATGAATTATAGAAAACAGAGGGAGGCTATAAAAACAGATTGCTCTTCATGATAAGAAATTGCGTGATTACCAGTACTGTTCATGCTTTAGGGAGAGTTTTGCTTGAAGGATAATACAAACTGTCAGCATGAGATCGAAATTAGTAAAAATTAGCCATGATGGTAATACATTAAAAACCAGTGTTAAAAAACCCAACTGCAGAGTCAGCCGAGTGGCTCAGTTGGTTAAGAGCTCGCTCAAGAGTGTGAGCTCTGAGCCACAGGGTCG